CTCCGCCCCCGCCACCACCTCCACAGTTTTAAACAATACTTCGGAAATGTTATGGAAATGTTTTATCTGAATACAAATGTCAGAGTATGAATAGCAGGAAATCTTACCTACAGCAAGAACTTTTGCTAACCCCCTTATTTATGAAAACGAAATGCATCACACATAATTAAGATAACTGAAAGTGTTTCAAATGGTATGCATGCTTCAAACGATTCATGGACATTGCATTTATATAGTCATTGTAACATTTTAACAATTTATATACAAGTAATGATCTTTGCATTTAAAAATACTCGATGTTGAAGTTTAGAAAACTCGCTGTCTTCTCTTCGCTAATTGTCCTTACATTCACACACGCTTGCTTGCTCTAGCTTTCCTTACTGTTGAATTTTGAACGTTTGCGTGTGCATTCAAATACGAAATCTACCATACAAATCGGTGACAGATTGACACAGAAAAATGACGTGGACATGATTGTCTCCTTCGACCAACGATGAGAATAATGTTTAAAAGTACAGATTAGTTACCTTCCATGTTGCTCTGTTACGTAATACAATTATTCTCATACTGCAAATTAATATTAAATAATTTTCATTTAAATTTCTTAAGTAATATTCCATGATGGTTGAATAAATGACGAAATAGTTCCGTTATTTTTTATTTGACGTGTCTTTGAATTCCTGATTTTCGTAACTTATTTCTTTACTACGTATTATAGAAACACTTTATCTTCCAAAATACTCTTTTCAACGGTACATGTAGCAGCAGAAAATGTACTAGGAGTAAATGCCTTGTTACCCCATCTCATTTCGTGAGCTCCTGCCGCTCTGGAGGTTATCAGAACATCGCCGGAGGTATATTAGAAGAGCGCCCGACCTCCTCCTGAACACACAGCAGGCGCTGCTTTCACTTACGCGTGTTGCGAAGCGCCCGGCCGCACGGGTGTAAACTCAGCCTCGCCAGGCCCCTCCGATCGCTCTGTATCTCCTCATCGCTGGGCCCGCAGGCCCAGGGCGCCGCCAACATGGGCCCAAAAGACGCCTGTCTGTGCGCGTCGACCAAAAGCCTTTTGAATATGTTTATAAAATATATTTTTTGAGTTTTTTGTTATTTAAGGTCGCATCAACATCAAGGTCATTAGCGTCCACTATTGCTTTGAACGGTATGGTAACTGCGAAGATGACATGATATGGTGATGACAGAGGTTGAAACGACGCTCCAAAGTACAAATGTACCCAAGGCGGGTTTCGAACCCGGGATCTTTCGTTCCGGCATCGCTACGGCACTACTGCTTTAAGAATCTTGGCAATCCAGATCGGCTTTTTGACTTTTAAATTTTTCAGTAGTTCAAGTTCCTCGGATTTTTATTTATCCATTAGACCCCCCCCTCCGGCCCACCATTCTAGCCTCCCTTCACCAGTCCAATCTCTTCACCGATCGTTTCAATTGCGTTTGGCTCACGAGCTTTACTAAAGCGAATACAATAATAAAATATAATACACAGTTACGTAAAAAAATATTACATTCGTAGAAACATTTATCTAGGAAGATACCTCACTTGTTCCCTCGTTACTCGTCAAGTCACACCTTTCTTTCATAAATAAAATAGCTCTTTATCGTCTTCTATAATAAATTACTTAATATTTATACTTAACTAATACTTTTAATATGATCCACTTCAGGCCTATATCCGGTGAGCGAATTTGCCCTTGGTAAGAGTGATTGACCTTTGTCTTTCTTGTCTTGTAGATGTCAGCAGTAGTGCTGATTTTCGATCCTAGAGCTCAAAGGTAAGTTTGTTTCTAGTTATTCGTTCAATTCTTGCACACCAGTTGAGAACAGGGTACCTGAACGTACGAGAAATTTCAGTAAATGAATCTAAATTCATAAAATAAAACTAGGGTGATAGATAAGAAACGAATGTGTCTTTGAACACACTTTTTCAGAAGAATAAAAAATGTTTATTTCTGTCTCTGCATGGCCACACTATAGTAACTGGTACTTACATGTTAATACTCTATAAATAACTCTCGTTACCAACTAACGAGCAAAAGGCGGAAATAATTTAAACAGGTTGTTTACCCTCTCTGAAATCCGCTGTCCGTGACCGCCGCCACCAAGTGTGTTCCGGTCCGTAGAAAAGGAGGAGAAGGACGAAGGACAAGGAGAGAATGAGAAAGATGAGAAGTTTGATGAAGGTGAATGGAAGGGAAGAAAGATAAGGAGGAAGTGGAAAACCAAGAAAATGAAGTAAAATGGGAGAAAAAGAAGAAAAAATGGGTAAGGAGGATTAGAAGGAGGAAATGTAGCAGCAGAAAAAGTATTATGATAGAGACGAAGAAAACAAAGGACGGGATGGATGAAAGAATGAGAAGGTGAAGAAAATAGAGAGAAATTGAGAAGAAAGGATAACATTACAAAATTATTGGAAGTTCCTTTGTAAACAATATAGTAGCAAAAATTAATTATTTTCAAGAAGTAAATTAAAAACTGGTTATTTACAATCTTATTGGGTGAAATATGAATTAATAAGAACAAAAGCTCTTTCAATAGCGCATTAGTTAATTATAAATACGTTTCACAGCACTTATTTAGCCTCTTTTCACCCATCTATTAAAGCTAAATTCTGGCAATGTTTTGTCTAACTTTCGGCAAGGTATATAATATCTTGGGCATAGATTTCAACGCAATTCGCACACACGCATTCACTGGCAGTGTCGTGGCATTATTGATAATTGCTATGTTTTTGTAGTAGTGGTAACCATGGACCGCCAGCCTCGCGTTAACATGACACATTTCTTGCATGGGTTCCACCCATCTTCTGTATAACATGGGAACCACAGAGACGTATCCTTCATCTTCTAAGTCCCTCTTATGTCATTGGAGAATAGTCTCGTGTATAGTCTAACTCTTTTCGACCCCTCTGGATCACTGTGCTTCGCGCCTCGCGCCACAAAGGCCTCTGTGGAGGCGGCGGAAGAAGTTAAGATACGAAGTGGGAAGAAGCCCGCCTGCACCCATGCGGCCGCCGCTCTATCAATAATTACTTATCGAAAGAGCCCTCGTGGGATGTGCTTTATGAATGCTGTAGCAGTTCGTGGGGGCCATCTTTAATTAGGAGCTGGCTAGTTTATTAAATTGGGTTCGGTGTGATAGTGGGAATTGTTTCTGTTTTCAGGAGTGTAATGTCTTAGTTTCGATTTCCCTCGGAGTTTGGAGTGTGATTTAATGGCAACGGAGATATAATCAGAAAAGAAGCGGGGAAGGAGAAAATGTATGTTGCAATGTGATTTGTAGGAGTAAACGCCAAAATACTCATAAAAGAAATGATGCCAGTTAGGAAATCAAATATTTTATGCAAAATATTTGTTTTCTCCATGTAGTTAATTGGGAGTGTATTAGAGACGTTTTGCAATTGTCTTTTGAACATGCGAAAATAACTGTGACGAGATCAAGATTTTCCTAACCCATTTGCATCTAGAATGAAGTTTGCTACAAGAAATAGAAGATGATTTCCTCAGGAGGCACAAACACTTATTGCACAGCAAAACACATGTTCGGGGAATCAATGACTAAGGGTTGCTGATTTCCCTCGTCTAGAATTATAAAATATTTATAAAATTTTCTAATCGCTCATTGGATACATACGTTTACTAAGTATTCTAACTTTAAATAATGTTTTATATTCATTTTCATAGCGCAGAAATTTCAATTTCAGGGTTTTAAACTTTGTTTCTGCTTCATTACCTTGTACTTACATTCTGTTTATTACCTTACTTACTATTACTTCGAAAATTTGCCATGAGAGACCAATTGTGTTGATGTTGCACCACTGTATTTCCAAAACAGAAACTTTGACTCTTAGAACACGTCTGTAGCCCGACAAGTTTGATATCTCCTTTCGGAGGTAGAGCATAAATTGCATACGATCCCTTACTACGCCTTACGGCGGTGCTTTCAGCTTGTTTTGTCTGCCCTGCGAACTGATACTGTGGCTGGTTTGAGTGGAGACCCTGTCACTCATCTTCGCTGACGCTGTTATCGCTCACTTCATTGATGCTGCTATCGTCACAATATATCTCTTGCGAAGAGGAGGATCCGCATAATAGAACGATTTCATAAATTTCCCAATCTGTATTGTCAGTTCGCGCTCGTGGCTAACTCTTGGTCAGCTGCACGGCCCCGGATTCGATTCCCTGTCGAATCAAGCCTAAAGCCAAGACTCGTACGTGAATTTTCCTTGCAATGTCCCAGTATATGTTGCTTTGTGACGATGAGAAAATTCACTTCTCAGGTTGAGAAGATTGGAATACGGCGTGGGGATGTCTACGTCCTAACCAACCCCTTAACCCATGACCGCGAGGCAGGGACGTCGCCGGTAGGCGTGAGCCCGTTCACGGGCTGTCGCGCCATGTACCCACATTCATACATATTGTCAGTTCAAAAATGTTTCTTTGATATTTTCTTTACCGTATAAAACTGAATCCTTCTTTCTTACTGATTTCTTTCTTGTTGCAGTGGACAATCTAAGAACATTTTGATAAATATTATTTTTCTTCTCAAGTAATTAATGTTTTGATGAAGTCAGATGAACCACAAGATTCACTGAGCATCTGTGAATCATTGGCATTTAAATTTAATGGTTTGTTCCTTCTAATATTCATGAATTATAAACTATTTCTCGCGACTGTTATCTCGGACATCATCCGGATATCGAGTATTACACATCAATAATACACACTAAATCACAATACTTTTCGAAATTAAATTCATTAAAAACTCTGGTGCGGAAATGCAATTAATAATCCGACCTACACCAGGAAACACAATACGCATGCTGAACGCTGTGAAAGTCGCGCAGTAATATTGCGCGAACTGACTAAAAATCGAGAGTGAATTTGAGGATCAGTTATTGTCTTTCACTAGACGTCCTTTTCTTTTACTAGGTGTCAAAGATACGGGACAAGTCGCCAATGTTCTGTTTGCTTTCGCGTGAAATGATCTCTGAAGCTTCCTGCTCCAACAGCTCGACCAAACAAGCACGCACCAAGCATCACGCACAACGTTCTCGGATAGAGGGGAATTGCAGAGTGTGATAGAGGTAGAACCTCACTCTTCTCCGAAACCCGCGCATGCGTAGTCGTAGAGAGCTTTGTACTAACTTGTTCACCTACATTTTCCAGTACACCTTTTGAAAATGTTGTGACTGAAACGAGCAATATACGTATTTCGTACAATACATTAAACGTTATATTTTAGGGGTTTGGCAATTCTTACAAGCACGAGCGTGAGCTGAATACTGGGTAGTTTTTTTTTTTTAATTTGTTGCGTCTACATAAACGCAACGCGTCTTCAAGCCTTGGGGGCGTTGAGCGCTTCGCGCGTTACGGGGAGTAGTCCTCCATTAATTTCTGCGCGGGAGTAATCCTCTATTAATTCTTAACTTTGTCCGTCTTGTCAAGAGGACCGCCAGGTAGAATCTCCGCGTACGCGTCTCTCTTACGCGCTCTTGAGTCACTGATCAGCGGCCAGAATTAGGAAGGAGTTAGAATTGGATTTAGGACACTTCACAGATATTGTACTAGCTTGTGAAGCAACCAAACTCGTTTTGTTGGCACAAACATCACATGAGATTGCCCGGGAATCAAACCCGGTCACCCTCATTGGTGAAAGGCGAGCGTCTTCGCTCTGAGCCACCGATCCAGTTCATTTGTCTGTATACCTTCCCTTCCCATATCACACAGACAACTACTTCCGCCGACCTCACAATAATGCCTTACGCCCTAATAAGCATATAAGCTCCAGTCCTTCGATAACAGCGGAGGCAGAAAAGTGTGACGTCATGGATACTCACAGCGAACACAGACAGAGCTTTCAATATAACAAATATTTATTTACAAAAGAAAACCCACAAACAAATAAATTTACAATGAATTTACACTTTACACCCTAGCTCTTATAGACCTACTTATTCCCCTGAATCGCGGGAGCGATTTCAAACCGATTGAGATCGTGAACTCCGATTGTGGCATTCGCCACTTCTACTCTGAAGCGCGCACAAGCCAACTTCCGACCACCACCACAGCCCGAACACTATGACCGGGATGTCACACTGGGACACAAAGGCCGTTCTGGCCGTAACCAACTGATGGTTTGCTCGATCCGCAGGAGCGATCTTATCCGATTGAGAATCGGCGTGAATCGTGGCCACTCAACCACTCCTCACCTCAGAGCACGCAAACAGCATCCGCCTCCCACGTGACCGCCAGTCACCCAAGGGCACAAAGTCTCCACAAGGCTCGTCAAACCTTGACTTTGCCGCGCGAGCCTGGCCCGCCCCGCACCGTCGTTGGCGCACGTTTTGTGCAAACTGCACGACGGTTCTCCCCACCTGTGGGGCCAGAACCCACCCACTGGCTCTGTACACTCGTTATATAGTCAGGCCCACGTGACCTTTACTACGTTCACGCCACCCCCACGCTGTTATAAATGCTAACAATTAAGGCGTTGGCTAAAGACCGGAAGACTCCAAAAGCCTTGTTGTCTTCCGTTTCCGCGTTTCTTGCTTTACTGAAAAACCCTTACTTCTCCTTCCTGTGGCGAGGAGTTTCCTCTTTCTAATCCCTTACCAAGCGTCCCCGAATAGATGCCACGCTGGCTAATACGTTACAAAAGACTCTCAGCATCGTGGCCGCGGCAGGGTATTTGCGACACCATCGCATCCCTCTGTGACGAAATGCGAAACATCGCCGCCTCATGCGCCTCTCGTATGTCACGTATTTCACCCTCCATCCCCACTCCCCCCCGTTCGAGAGTGGTGCGGACGCCGTGGGCATGAAGTGGTGCCGCCCGTGTTTTTGTGCGTATCCCTCTTCTCCCCCCCCCTCGCCGCCCGTACCACGAGAGAATATGTTTATGCAACTTGTGTACGGTGCCGTTACACGGCGATAAATATGCGTGTGTCTCTCGCATTCGCGCGCGAATGTTGCGGAAGTGGCTTCAACTCCGGGTGGAATATGGCGTTTAGGGTCCCTTTCGGCTGCACGTTTCGGGTCGGGCGGCGGGTTAATGCGGCACGATGGGCTATAGCTGCTCAGTTGGGATCTAGGATTGTTGAAATGAACCCCGTCTGTGTTAACAGGGGAAGCGAGTAACGTTTTGTAACGTGCGTGCGAATGTCTTGGGGTGCACATTCAACAAATAAACAGAGTAGTGCGCACACAGGGACACACATCGGATAGTAACTATTTTACG